TAATATAAAAAAATTATAAAGATTGGTTAAAATTTGAATGACTTTTATTAGAAGTAATTATTGATTTTTATATTGGTATACCAATCTTTTTGCACTAACCCATAATAATAATAATTAATATTCTATTAAAAATTTATATTATAATAGAATTCTTTTTATTAATATTTTGTAAAGATTTTATACTAAATTTTAATAATTTTTTAAAATTATTATTACTTATTTTTCAAGCTTAATTTTTTAAGTTTAATATATATTATTCTTATATATACTAAAATAATTCTCTGATTCTATTAGTTATTTTTTAATATTATAATAATATATTTTTAATATTATAATAATATATTTTTAATTATAATATAATTAAGTTTATTATAAAAAAATAATTTTTCTTTTATTAAATTAGTAAGTATTATAAAATTAATGATAGATTGATTATTTTAAAATTAATATTTCTGCTAGATAATAATCTTATTATTATTTTTAATATTATATCAATTAAAATAATCTTTACTCTTTATTTATAAAATGATAATATTTTAATATAATTAATTTTAAGAAAGTCTATTAATAAATAATATTGTTATCATTTTAAGCTTATATATATATAAGTTAATAATTCTATTGTAAATATTAAATATCTTTCTCTTTTTATTTTAATTAAATAAAATAAAATCTTATAAATAAATTATAATATAATATTAATTTAAATTTACTTAATTTAGATTTATGAATTTAATTAATCTGAATTCATTAGTAATTCTTATTTAAAATTACAAACTTATATATGCACGAAAATGTTATTAATATTTGGGTTTAACCCCTTAAAATCACGTGTTTCGATACTTTTTTTCGCCGTGGCTAGCGACAGATTGTGATCGGAATCACATGATCTACCCTTTTTTTCCAATAAAACTCACGTGTATACGTAAAATTATCTCGAAACAAAGCTTTCTATCAATTTCCATAATGTCTAACGGAAAACTTGCAAAACCTGAAGAAGATTTTAGTGCCTCGGTAGACCAACTTTTGCCAGAAACAGAAGCTCTTGCAAAGGTTAGTTTATCTTCTGCTTCCATTCTAAAATTCGAAACGCATCCGCTCTAATATTTTTCGCATTCTAGCAAGGACTTTTGAATCAAGCATTAGAACAGCTCTTAAGTCTTGAAAAGCAAACACGTCAGGTTGCTATTAGCACTTTCTAACACCACTTTCCTACTGGCATCGTAACGAGGTCCTTTTTTATGTAGTCTTGTGTGTTATTGTGTTAATTACAGGCAGCTGACCTCGATTCGTCCACTCGCGTGTTAGTTCATACTGTCAAACTAATTCACACTTACGGGGATTGGAAGCTGTTGAATGAATATGTTGTTCTGCTCTCGAAAAAACATGGCCAGTTGAAACAGGTCAATATTGCAGATAAATCCAGTATTCGTGTGATTATCCCGAGTTCACGAATTTTTTTTATTGAATTTATTTAGGCTATTACTAAAATGATTCAAGAGACGATGTCATATCTTGATGCTACGCCAGACCTTGAAACAAAGTTAGAATTGATTGTTACATTGCGCACCGTAACCGAAGGGAAAGTATGTTGTGGTGGATCTTATTAAATGGAGTGTTTTAATTGATTCGTTTACTTTAAGAGAAAGTGCATAATTAAATTTTTAATACATTACTAAGATTTATGTTGAAGTTGAACGTGCTCGTTTGACACGAATGCTTTCAAAAATACGTGAAGATGAAGGAAAAATTAATGAAGCAGCAGATATTTTGCAAGAGTTACAGGTAAGTTTTTCAATTTACCTTTTTCTTTTTTTTGAATAGAATGAAAATTAACCTAATCATTAACGTTAATTATGTCTTAGGTTGAGACTTTTGGCTCGATGGATAAGCGAGAAAAGACCGATTTCATTCTTGAGCAGATGCGTCTCACCCTTGCAAAACAAGATTATACGAGGACTCAGATTGTTAGTAGAAAAATTAACACTAAATTTTTTGCGGATCCTGAGCAACAGGTATTTTATAGAGGTTTATCGAATCGGTATTTTATTCTGTTTATTGAAAATTTATTTATCATTATGTTCTTATAGGACTTGAAACTGCGTTACTACCAATTAATGATCCAGCATGCATTGCACGAAGAACAATACCTGAATGTTTGCAAATATTATCGACAGGTGTATGACACACCATCGATTAAAGAAGATGAATCAAAATGGAGAGATGTAAGTCAAGTTAATTTGGAATAAAATTGCCTAACGTTCAAAAACTTAACTTTTAAATAAACATCTTGTTAAATGAATAGATCCTTCAAAATGTCATCTACTTCATCGTTTTATCTCCATACGATAATGAACAGAATGACTTGCTTCATCGCATCTACGAAGATCCTAATCTTATCAAACTGAGTTTGCACTAGTAATTACATTAAATGATTTTATTCTTATTTATGAAATTCCTGGTTAACAGTAGTATTTTTTTTTTTGGTTATAAAAAGCGAGCTCGTCAAATGCTTCATAACACCCGAATTGATGCGATGGCCACGTATTCAAGAATTATATGGTGTAGCATTGGTACAGACTCCGGTGTTTTCTCAAACAGATGAAGATGGCAAGAAACGATGGCAGGAGCTGCATAAACGCGTGATCGAACATGTGCGTTAAATATAGTATCTGTGTGTTCTTTATACGTTTCGAGACGTATGATGAGATTTATTCTTATTATATGTTTATTTATATATTATATAAATTAGAATATTCGTGTAGTAGCGAAGTACTACACGCGCATTAGAACCAAGAGATTGACTCAACTACTGGACCTCAATGATCAGGTAAAACAAATTTTTAAATTTTATTATTGAGCAACGAAATTATAAATATACTAAGCCCTTATGAAAATTTTATGATACAGGATACCGAAGATTTCCTCTCGAAATTAGTAGTCTCAAAGACCATCTACGCGAAAATAGATCGACCAGATGGGATCGTCTCATTTGCCGCTCCTAAAGACGCGAATACGGTGCTCAATGACTGGTCAAATAATGTTAATTCGTTGTTGGGTCTTATTGAGAAAACATGTCATCTTATCACCAAAGAGGAAATGTTGCATAGCATTGCTAGAGTTAAGTAGCGATTGATGCTCATATCTAGGCGATTTTTAATTGATAAATGATAGACTTGTGTTTAATTTAATAAATATTTTATTTCAATCTAAAAAAAGTTTAAAGAGTTATTTGATGTGCTCAAGACATCATATTATAAAATTAATTATCTATAACGTATATGATATATTAAAATTACGAATATGCCTCGTTACTGAAGTAGAATTTTTCTCACTCAGCTTCGCTGGTTGTATTTAGTAATATGCAGAAGTGTAATCTGCAAGTTTGACAGCAATCTGGGATAGTTGGTCAGGCAGGACATAGATCGTGGTGTAAATCGACAAAGTCAATCCAATTAAAACAACAGAATCTATTTTTCGGTTTGTAGGGAAAAAATTGATGTTTAATAATGGTAATAACATTAAAATTGATGATATTTATGTAAAGAAAGAAACTCACTAAAAAGTGCCTTTTCCCATGGCTCCAACATGTATAAACCAGTGGTCACTTCGTATTGGTAGTTTTTCAATGCGGCGTATTGTCGGATTCTTGAGAACATATCGTATTAATTTTTTTGATGTGAGGTTATTTGTATGTAAATGTTTACAAAAAATCTCCGATTGGCTAAAGATTTGACTGTAGATCACATCTATCATCATTTCATATGTTGCTCGCTTTACTTTACTATATCGCAAAATAAATAATCATGGTCAATGATCCGAATTCTCTCTCAAATACATCCGATGTGCAAACTACTCATATTCATTTAGATCTCAGCGTCAATTTCGCAAAAAAGATATTATCCGGATACGTGATATTGGATCTTCTTACTCTTCGGAAGGATGTATCAGAAATAATTTTGGATACCAGAGATATTGATGTTAGGCAAGTGTTGCTCGATGAAAAGCCATTGAAGGTTGGTTAATCTCTAACAAAAAATTTGCACAACCATGGCCGATTTGATGAAAAGTAAATTGTGATAATATTGGTTTTTTTGACATGGGTTATTACAGTTCCATTTTGCACCCAGTGATGAAAAGTTCGGATCTGCTTTGCATATCGAGTTGCCAGAAAATTTTGCTGAAAATAAAAGTTTCAAATTGAAACTTGATTACAACACCTCGCCAACGTGTACTGCAGCTCAATGGTTAGAGCCGAGGTAAATACATATAGCAGACAAATATCTATTTATTGTTATTTATCTATCTGATTTACTTTGTATAATTTAGCCAAACCTGTGGTAAAAAATATCCGTATTTTTTCACTCAATGTCAAGCCGTAGGTTTTGTATTATTCTGTGTTTGATCACGAAAATAGTTAATAGAATAATCTTACAATTAGATCCACGCACGATCCCTTTTACCGTGTCAAGATACGCCGGCCATCAAATTAACATATTCCGCACACATCCGTTCACCTTACCAAACACTGATGAGCGCCATAATAGTAGGCGAAGAAGACACCGGAGATGGGACAAAAATCTACAAATTCGAACAACTGACAAAAATCCCTAGTTATTTAATCGCGTTAGCGATCGGTAACATTAAAGGGAAAAAAATCGGGCCAAGATCAACTGTGTGGACTGAGCCTGAAAATCTCGAGGCATCAGCCTGGGAATTCGCGGATACAGAGAAATTTATCGCGACCGGCGAAGATCTGTTAACCCCGTATGAATGGGGAAAATACGATCTGTTGGTGCTTCCGCCTTCTTTTCCGTATGGAGGGATGGAGAATCCTTCTTTGACTTTTGTTACGCCTACTTTGCTGGCGGGTGATCGATCGTTGGTGGATGTTGTCGCGCACGAGATTTCGCACAGTTGGATGGGAAATTTGGTAACTTCTACTAATTGGGAACATTTTTGGCTGAATGAGGGTTGGACAGTTTTTGTGGAACGTAAAATTTTAGGTATGACTTATAGTTGATAAGCTTCCAAATTCTTTATTTGTCCATATTCAAAATCATCTCTTCACCTATTTATCAAAACTTAGGTCGCCTGCATGGGGAGAAGGAACGACAGTTTCAATCTATAATTGGATATCGCCATTTGATGGACAGCATTGAAAAGTTCGGAGCGGATAATCCGTTGACTGCGCTGGCTCCTAAATTGGACGGCGTTGACCCCGACGATTCTTTTTCAAGTGTTCCGTATGGTAATTATTTTGTTTTTTCATTCCCTTTTTTTGAATATTAACAATAAAGTTGATGTTAATAATATTATTTATGCGGATAAGAGAAAGGATTCAATTTTCTCTATTACATTGAAAAAATTGTGGGCGGACCGCAAGTTTTCGAACCTTACATGAAAGCATATGTGAAACAGTTCATGGGGAGATCTATTACGACTGATGACTGGAAAGATTATTTATTCAAATATATGGAAGAGAATCATGGCCCAGAAAAAAAGGAAGCGTTGTTGAAGATTGATTGGGATCGTTGGATAAATGCGCCTGGATTGGTAATTATACTAACTTGACAAATCATTGCTAAATAATAAAGTATTGATATTATGATTTTGTAATAGCCCCCTGTCAAAAATGAATTTGATCAAACATTCTCAAAAGCATGCTCTCAACTTGCCAAAAGGTATGTTTATCTATGAAACGAGAAACTTTTGTTAAGATCAATCTCACTCGTTTTTCTCTTTAGATGGGATGACGCTCGAAATAACGATACATTTGAAGGTTTTTCACCTAATGATATTAAAGACTTTAATTCCAATCAAAAAAGTAAACTATTTTTTTTTTTTTTTAATTTTTCTTCATTTTCTTAATAGATCTTGATAAATCTCTTGAATTATTTAGTGGTATTTTTGCAACGACTTTTCGAGTGTCCACCATTCCCCTATAAAGCAATCGAAGCGTTAGACAAAGTCTACAACTTGACTAATGTAATGAATTCCGAAGTTCGATTCTGGTGGCAAGAAGTTTGCCTGAGGACAGGATACGAACCAATCTTTCCGCATGTTGTCAAATTTGTCACGGAACAGGGAAGAATGAAGTATGTTAGACCGTTGTATAGGTGAGTCAATCATTTATTCTTATGAATTCATATTTTATGATCTCGAGAAATAATTTGATTCTTAAAATTTCTTTAGATCACTGAACAGATGTAATTCAGAGTTGGCAAAGAAAACTTTCCTCGAGAATAAATCATTTTATCACCCTATTGCAGCTACAATGATTGAAAGAGATATTATGTAAATCACTTTTAATCTTTTATTTTAAAATTATTTCGCATTTAATATTGATATATTAGCGGAAGTCTAGACGACTATAACTATTAAATGTATTTTATTATACAATTCAAAGATAAAAGTGAAATTTCAAATGTCCTACAATTACATTATTTCAACTAATTAATAATTATAGAACTCGGATAGTAGTGCCAGAATTTTAATTATGATCGTTCACCACGAAGACGTCTGGCGAGTTGAATATCCTTAGGCTGGATGGTAACACGTTTGGCATGAATAGCGGCCAGATTAGTGTCTTCAAACAAGGCGACGAGGTATGCTTCAGCAGCTTCTTGTAAGGCACCAATTGCCGAGCTTTGGAAGCGTAGGTCGGTCTTGAAGTCTTGTGCAATTTCACGAACTAATCGTTGGAAGGGAAGTTTGCGGATGAGAAGTTCTGTACTTTTTTGGTATCGGCGAATTTCTCGAAGAGCTACTGTTCCTGGTCTGTAACGATGTGGCTAATATGCAAAGAGAAAGTCAAAATATGTAAACAGGAAAGATAAAGGTAAAATGGTAAATTCGTAATTATTTACCTTCTTCACACCACCAGCAGCTGGTGCGCTTTTTCGTGCGGCTTTAGTAGCTAGTTGTTTTCTGGGAGCTTTTCCACCAGTTGATTTACGTGCAGTTTGCTTTGTTCGTGCCATTTTTATTTATGGTGGTGTAATGTAAAAAGGTAGTTTATATATATTTCTTCGATAGTAAATGGAAAAATAAGAGAGGTAAGGATTATCACGCAGAGGGAATGCAATATGAGATATCCCGTCGTACCCTCGTCCCTTATATAATGGTTTTCTGGACGCGCGACACGAATTTTATGTTTACTACTAACAATAAAAATATTGTGATTTAAGTTGTATGTTTGATGTTTTTACCAGGAAAGGAAATAAGTATATTTATATTTATTATAATGCCAATGCCTGCTCTTGGTCGCGTGAGGAAAACAAAACATCCCCAGTTTTGTTTCTTGTTAAATCACATAAATCACATGCGCGGTTGATATACCGACGCGTAAAATCAAAACATGTTATTTACTTGATACACAAACATACACGCGTGATTTTTACATCATATACAAAAACAAAAGTGAATTGACGCGAAACTTGATAAACTATATAAGCAGCAGACGTTGTCGCCTCCGTTTTCAAAAAAAAAATTTCTTTTCTTATTTTTCTCAACCTACGTGAAACGGCAATAACAACCAATAACACAACACAATATTCACCAATAATACAATACAATATTCAACATGTCTGGTCGTGGTAAAGGTGGTAAAGGACTTGGAAAAGGCGGAGCAAAACGTCATCGCAAAATTCTTCGGGATAACATTCAAGTAATTACTTACTTTTAGATTTGACGTCGTGCGTTTAAGTTACTTTAAATTTTATTCACTTTTTTTATTCAAAAGGGAATTACCAAACCGGCAATTCGTCGTTTAGCTCGTCGAGGTGGTGTCAAACGTATCTCTGGACTGATTTATGAAGAAACCCGTGGCGTATTAAAAGTGTTTCTTGAGAATGTTATTCGTGACGCCGTCACCTATACTGAACACGCTAAACGCAAGACTGTAACGTCACTGGATGTTGGTTAGTAAAATTATATTTTCTATCTTTATCTCACTCTTCTATCGTACGATTCATCAATTCATTTTTATTTTTCTAGTATATGCACTCAAACGCCAAGGCAGAACTCTCTATGGTTTCGGTGGATAAACAACGAGTTACTAACATCAACTTATAGGTTAATTCGAGTTATGAGAATTGGGTGGGAAACAACAGATCACGAACATTTCTACCATTTCTTTTTAATATATCTGTAATTTATTTTAATTAATTTGTCATGAAATAGCATAGCATAGAAAACCAGGTGAATTAAAGATTAACCAAGATTAATTTTTCTGGATTTTTATCCTAATGTAAAAGTTTGCATACCGTCATTAATTTGGACGATTTAGTTGTTTAAATTTTCCTATAATTGATACGTTTTTTTCAACACTTGATGTAACGAGATTGTGTTCCAGACTCGTAAAATCTTTGAATATAAGTTTATTAATACACTCGTAAAACATAGTGAATCTATATTAATAGACCCGGGCCATTCGTTCTCAAGAGACACTAAATGTGGTATATCTGAAAGTTCTAACCCTGCGTCTTTGAAAAAGAGAAATTGCGTTCGATTTTTAAATTTCAACATGGTCATAAATTTTCAAAAATAAATTAATTACGAAGATTGCGTATAAATATATGTTACAACAAGAAAAAGAAACGTAATAATAATAAATGATCCCACATACACTCCTCTATATCTATCTACTTTCTATATTACATGTATTAAAAAATAATAAATATTAACGTTAAAAAACGAAAAGATTTTGTGTATGCATAAATACTTTGTTTCTATCTATTTATCTATCAGTCACAACATCCATTTCTATAATAACCCGTCCAAAACTTGATAATTGGAAGATCGTGTTCGTCAATGTTTAATTGTTTGAGAAATTCAAGTTGTCTTAATGTTGATGTTGTTGATAACGCGTTATTGCTGATATTTTCAGACAATAGTCCTCCATTCGCAACTCCAATATTATTTCCACTAGGAATGCCATTTACGCCAAACTTTAAATACCTCAGAAATTGTTGCGCTTTACTATATGAATTAATTCATAAAAAAACTCTTAAAAAGGATAATCAATAAACGACGGAAAGCAAAAAAATCCAACCAACCATAACCATTGCTCTTTAAATATAATCAATCGCATTTCCAGCAATTCAAGTGATAAATTCGATTCAAGAATTTCAATTAATTGATCCATATATAAAATTGGTGGTTTATTCGTAGTTGAAATTGTCGTAGCAGCAATAGTTTTATTATGATTAACTTGCGGCTCTTTAGTTTTCGCTTTTTCTTCTGTTCCGTATTTCAAGAGGAATTGAAGATCCTCTAATACTGTGTGACTTTCTTTAACGGAGTCTGAATTTTTATCAGATGCACTACAGATATGTGTTATTGAATTCAAGTTAAAGGTATCACTGACTCAATGAAATTATTAAAAAAAACTTTAAAATCGAAAATTAAAAGGATATCTAAAAGACAAATAGAAGTTGTATTAACATTTTCCGGAATATTAGCTGTTTCGCTTAATCCTAAGAGATTACATTCCGTCGCATTATGATACTTGTGATCATATTCTATTACAGAATAGCATTTACGTGGAATCAGGTCCTAATACAAAAAGCAATGGCATCCTTAATTAGCATCGATTTTATACTATGACTAAAGCGAATTACTCAGAAGCATTAATAATGTTACTAATCGATGTACAGCCATCACAAAAGTAACACCCACTTTGCTTGTATAACAATATATCCAAATCAGGCATTAAATTTGCGACGACTATACATCCACTAATTATTCATTGATTCAATAATTAACCTTTATGACGTTTATAATAGACTTCACTATCTCCTGATTAGATCCTCGGATGATTAGTTGATTCCCCCTTACATAATTGAAAACTATCTTGCGAAAAGTAGAAATTCCTAACATGCTTTGCAAGTATGGTAGATTATTTATCCGTAGCTCAGAATTCGAATTCTTTGAATCTGCGAGGAAAATATTCCCTTTACCAAAGAGGGAGGAGGATGACCAATTTAGCTCATTGTCATAATTGATATTTGAGTTTGGTTGGAAGAGACCGGCAGACTTGGGCGTGAAATCATGCAATTCAGGTGACTTTAAAATAATTTTTCATCTTTTAGATACGACATTTCCAAGGAGAAAGTGAAGACATATGCATACACGTACCAGATTTTCACCATGAATCTGTCGTTCTTGCAATCGTCGACCGCCCGCTTTCAGAATCCAACTAAAATTGGCATGAAGTTGAACAAACAAATCCTGATGATGATTTTATAAAATGATAATGATAATGGGATATGTGTGATGATATGCGAACGAACGAACAGCGACACATCAGACACACAAGAGCCGTTGCGGGCAAATCAAGAGATTTTTGAATTCAACCTTGGATCCTAACAAGTCAACTAACGATCTCAAAGGCTGGTTGGCTCTTCTTCGTAGAAACTGATCTGTATTATTAAAATATGATATTATTATCGATGGATAAAAGGTTGTGCATATAGATGCGTGTGTTTTGAAATTACGCCTACCTGGAGATGTTTGCGGTAATGGACCAGTACGTGACATAAAGGGATCGTCTTGCTTTTCACGCGTTGCCTTTTCTTTATCATAAACTTGTGATGCTTTTGCTTGTAGATTTGTAGCTAAAACACGAAATTTACTAACGATACACATTATGAGTTAAAAAAATTACGCACGTTGGTACCGTGGTAATGTAAAATAAAATTATGATGAATCGGGAAAATGTACCTAACAAGGAATGGCCAAGATGCGACAAGATAAACTCGATCGGTCATTAAGAAAATAAAACTATAAAAACGATGTGATCCTCGGGCTTGACTATCTTTGATCTTAAACATATAACTTAAGATATAGCCATTTTTCTCGTCGCCAAATAAGACGGGACCTTCTCTTCCTTGACAGAATTCGCAACTTAAACTACATTTTGTAAAGGATTTTATTATCACGTGAATATTATCACACGCGTAAACAAAAGAACATTGATCAAATCACCTTCTAACACAAGCTTGTCGAACAACTGAATAGAGCTGCGAGTGTTGTGGATACCGAGACCCAATGTAAGCAACTAATGGATTATCATCATCTTCCGTTTTGAAACCCTTGAATTCGGTATTGGTAGTAGCGGTGCTATTATTTTTGGCATTTGGATAATTTTTCTCATCTAAGGGTGGTAATGTAAAGCCACAAGAGGCACAGGACGAGGAATCTTTTCGATGTTGATTATTATTGTTGTTGCTGTTATTATTATTATTAATATTATTGGTCGAACAATTGTCCTTGGCGGTTTCATACGTATTTTCTGGATTATGCAAGGGAAATGTATTATCGCTACTATCCGAATGTGAACTGTCTAATGGTAAGTCTTCACTGGAACTATTGTCATGAAATGCTTGTGTACAAAAAATCACGCTCGGGCCTTCAACTTCGCAGAAGTGCACAAGGGCTACTATTGCATTCATATTTGTTGTGTAGCAAAAACTTTTTTATACAAGAGAAAAAGGGTACACACAACCCACGTTTGAAAACAAACTTGTCTCAAATCTCTTTCTATAACAAACACAAACAAACACCTTTAAGATGAATCTTATTTTTTAAGATAGGCGGTCCATAATAAATAATAATAATAATAATAATAATAATGATAAATAACAATATAATGAGGATAATAGTAATGATAACGAGTAGGTTCTGATCAATTTTTTTCGCAGTGGGCAGCAGCAAATAAAAAAAGGACCAACAAAAAAAGGTTTCCCGAGAAAAAAAGCTTTGATTGCAACTCTTTGCACATTTGATAAAAACGCCAATAATGACGAGGGGTAGCCGTTAGGGTGCATTAGCTTGCAGAATTTCTATTGAACAGGATTCCTTTTAGGGGATTATTCTAAATAATATCGCATATATAATTTATATATATATATATATATTGATTGATTGATATGAGTTATTTATATTACATATATTGACAAGTGTTTGATTATATGCATTATAGAAAATAAACAAATAGATGTATGGATAGACTCAGGCACATAAAGACAGAATTATTTAATTATTTCGATTTAAACGATTTCAATGATCTCTTTGGCCGTAATTCGGCACGTTGATTGTCCATTGTCGACCTATGTGATAATTTCTCCATTAACCCTTCAATTTCTTTTATCGCACTCACACGATGTTGAACCGGCGGGTTCGCGTCTTGATTATCCAATCGATAGCCTCTCATTTTCTCGACTTTTCTTAATACACTATTTATAAACATGTCACGTTCCTTTACAGCTGACAACTGAAAACGTTGAGAAGCATAAGATGTTATGCGATGTGGCTTTGATAGTTCTCCGGCAAGTCTAGTCAAATCTCGGACTAATAATTGTTCTGGTGGATGCCAATCCTTTAATGCATAATAAACAACATTTTAATAATTGTGAAAATCATGAATTTTGTGCAACAAATAGCAGATTATTACCTGATCTGTCATTCGATTTTTTCCCAATCTTTCGATGACACCATTTAGTTTAGCAGCTTCAAAATGATGAATTTGACGAGGACTCAATTCCACTCGTTGATCCATGAAACTTCGTGATGCTGATTTATTAATTTGCTCAACTAGTTTATTCAACGTTTGATACTTCACAACTGAACTTGAGGAAGCACGCTGTTCTTCGTATCGTCCACGTGAGAGTCTTTGAATAGTTGATGTCAAAATCGCCGCGGACATTTGCTTAGCTTGGCGATTATTAAGTTCAACTCGTTGATTAGTAAGTTGTGGTGCAACATGATATACACGTTCTATAGCAGAAAGCACATTATCAAAATCTCGTTGCGTTTTTTCATTGTCAGTTTTTTGATCTGAGAGATTATAATAATAATTGTTATTATCAAGCACTGAAGAATAGTTTGGCGGATCCATCAGATTCGATCTTTCATTATTTTCAGTAAACGTGGTGGAATATCTTGGCGGTGGGTCATTGTTTAATCTATCACGACAAAAACTCGATACTACATCCATCAGACGCTGAATTTCATTCCAAGTGGCAACCCGCTCATCAAAAACATCCTCTGAATATCGATATTCGAAATCTGAATGTCTATTTTGAAGATTTGTAACTTCATTCCGAAGTGTAACATACACATTTTCATCATTCACCGTTTGTAATATTTCCTCGGCCGTATGTGACTTTAAATGATGACTATTCGATAAATGTTGTTGTTGTTGTGAAGAATCTATCAATTCTAAAATACGATAAAGATTTTCTAAAAGAGCTGCCAGAGTACACGCCAGACTATAATCATCATTCGGTATTATCGGCGAATTAGCTTCTAATTGATTCTGTATTTCCGTGAGTTTGATTAGATCAGACGCTTTCGAAGAATCACCTCCTCCTAATTCTCGCATTTCGTTTTTGCTTCCTAATCTGGTTGCATTTTGTGCAATGTCTGCTAATATTTGTGATCTAATACTCATATCTCGTTCCTCTGGTGTCTCAATAGTAATATTATTGGTAATAGTATTGGTTCGCGAAGGAATATCACTAAATGCTCGTCTCCTCCCAGCATTTTCTATAGCTCTTGACGAAGGCGTTGACAAATGCACGATATCATCTGCCACTATTTGTCTTAAAACATTATCTAAGGCCATAAGTGAAACATGTTTCACAGTGTTTAAAGATTCTATCACATCCTATAGATAATAAATTTAATCAATTCAATTCGATCCTTCAAAAATAAACGTTTTCTCTCTTTGAGAAACTTACTTGAGACAGTAATACATTATTTATCTCTTCTTGGCCAGTAGGTGAAAGAAGCGGTTCTAGCATCTCATGCGAATCCCATTTATCCACATCATTTGTAGCATTATCATTATTATTGTTGTTGTTGTTGTTGTTGTTGTTGTTACAAAGGGGCAGAGACGACTCAGTCTCCTGCACCTGCTCCGTAGAAACCCTTGTCTCAGAAGATTGTCCTAAACTTTCATTTAACATCAAGTCCAAAATGTGGTGGTCATTCGACGAAAGTTCAAGTGGTGGCAGTGTAGGAGGACTATCGTCTTCTAATAAGAGTTCAGAGTCACCAACTCTCGCTGGCATTGACCTCTGAGAATGAAAAGGCGAAATTCATTACCAAGGAAAAGAATGCGAGACACGAGTTATATAAGACTTACGCGTTTAGATTTTTTCGAAGAATGCGGTTTTGATAGCTGTAAAGTTGCCATATTGGTGGATTAACTTTATTTTCGACGGTTTGCCGCGTAATAATTCTTTACGAATACAAAATAAAGCACTAATAATATAGAAATGATAAGAAATGCTTGTCTGGAAATTATATGTCATACAATCGAGCACGTTTTGCAGAGATGTAAACTTTCAATGTTGTACTGAGTAGTGTAACCTGTTATCAAATATCTAATTATAAATTTAACTTTACCACTTGGTTTGCTTTAAAAAGTAAATGCCAATTATTAAATCATACAATCGTTCTTTATACTTTAATTAAATCAAGGAATTATCAGAACCAAAGATAATAAGTTGTGCCAACATATACGGTGAATATCTTCTATACGAACGTAATTCCTCGCTGGTGTAATATATGTTCGACATAATATTAAGTATTAATAATTTCTACACGTTAGAAAATTTATGGTCACGTGATTTTTAAGGGTAAACCAATCAAACCGCAAGATATTGAAATATTAATGTGCAAAAATGAAGAATTTGATAATTATGTAATATTGACTTACCGTAAAACGTGGTCTTAAGTATCCCCTGGACAATAGTACCTTCCATAGCGGTTTTTTTGAATAGTACCCGGTATTTTAACAATATAAATAAACGGAAAATAAAAATAAATTGAATAAATTGTGTAACTCTTAAAATAGTACCCACCCTGATTCGAGAAAATTGTATGGTACTTGAGGCCACGTTAATGATGTTCAAAATTTTACGTGACAAATATAAACATATTATTAAAATTTACTCTAAAAGAGCATTATAATAATGCTTTCACATAAATACAGATTGTTTGATTACAAAACTGGAGTAACAGCTATATGGTATAATTATAATCTAATTATCCCTTAAACTGTTAAGCCTGCTTAAATTATTTTTGATATGATTTTGTGTAATTTCATATGCATATCCCCCCCCCCCCTTTCTTATACAAATCTGAGTGTGCTACATTACCGATCATCCATGATTCCCTTCTCACGATTCTACTAACAAAAATCTAAAATTCCATCCTCCAAAAATAACTTCCAGGATTATTGAATTATGTTTTCTTTAACTAGACCAAACACTGCCTTCAAGTTCAATTTTAAGTACATCTTCTCTCGAAAATATGGAAGTTTATGTTAACAATGACAAAGAGCATATTTCACTTTTGATATTCCATCAATGTTCTTTGAAAAATCCTGAATCAGATCTTAAAGAGAATACCATGAGTGTTCATAGGGATAGATGCAAACCAGCAGTATAACTGTCACCATCATCTTTTAATTTTGATTATTCTATTTATCTAAGATTATCAAATTTATATTTATTATCAAAAAATATCAGTAATAATAGATAATGAAAAGATATAAATTATAAAAAATTTATTACTTGAATTGCTTTAATTATTTATTATTAAATTATTAAATAGATCAAAAAATATTTGCATGTTTCTTTTTTTATAATTATAATTAATAATTATTTTGAAAAACTAGAATCATTATTTTCAAAAATATGAGATATTTTAAAATAACTTTATATTCTAAATTTGAATATTTCAGTAGATAAAATAATAATATAATTTTCTAAAAGAAATATTTATATTATTAAAATAAAGAATAAATTAATTCTTAAGAATTTCAAGATCTTGTCATTTTATAAATTCAGATATATATATATATATTCTTATTATTATTATATATTTCTCTAAGTAATATATTAAAAGTAAATAATCTTAATCAAATTAGATATTTGATTTATTATCTTATTATGTAACTTTTATATTACTAATTTTTATTTAATATTTATATAAATAATTATTTTTCTAATATTTTTTTATTTTAAAATCTTTAATAAATAAATATTAATATTTATAAAACTATTTGTAAAATAACTTCAGAATTTTTAAAAAAACTGAAAATAAATAAAAATATTAAATTTAATTAAAATATTTATTTTGATATTATAGTAAATAGAATATTAATTATTTTTTAACAAGATAATAGATTAATTATAATATTATTAATAATCTATTATTTTATTAATAAAAATTAAGAAGTAAAATATAAAAAATAATAATTAAGATAGATAAGTAAAAATATAATAAAGATATTATAATCAATTAGCTATTAATAAAGTGATATAATAATATGATATAGTTATAGCATGTGATACAGTTATTGATCATTTTCAAATTAAATATACAAGAAATTAATATTAATTAATTTAATTTATTTATAATTCTATTTTTAATTTATCTTATTATCTATATTTAGTCTTATTTATTTATTAATTTAATCATATATATTATATCTAATTTATAATTTTATTAAATTAATAATTTTCTAACTAGTTATTATTGATTTTTCTTTCTTTAATTATAATTTCTTTAATATTTTACTAATTTTAATTTCTAATTACTTTATATTTAATTTAAAAATATTTTTTATAATAATTCTTTTAAGATCTTACTTATTCTTAAGTAAATTAAATAAAATATTATATTAAAATAATTTATAATTAGCATAGTAAGAAAATATTATATATAGAAAGTCAAGAAGTAATCAAAAAGAATAATTAAATTTGATAGAAATAGTTAACTAATATTTTTTTATAATATTACAAACTATATTTATATAGATAGATTTTACCTAGAATATAATCTATAATAAGTTTTAAGAATAAAGACTGAATTATTTATAAAGATAAAGAGAATTATAATTATTCTAAAGATTTCTTAATGTCAACACTTATGAATATTATATTAATATAAGATAAAAATAAAATAAAATAAATAAAAAAATATGATCACAAAAACTAAGCTAAGAATAGATATAAAAACTAAATAATAAATACTATAATTAAAATAAAAGATCTAGTATACTAACTAAATTCTTTAATAATATCTTTTCAACTGTTAGATAAACAAAGAGTATATCAAAATAAAAATAAAGCTTTTATATAAGAAAAGCTTACAAGAATCTTCATAAATTAAATAAAATATACTTGGCTTATTTTAAGTAAAAAGTATCTATTACTTATATTTATCAGGCAAGAAAAATATATAATTAATCAAAATATAATTTATTATGATAAAAAAGGTAATTGAAAGCAGAATATTAAGATAAAAATTAAAAAAAAATTACAAAATAAGTATAACTCAAGTATTTTCAAGAATAATTAAATTATTATTATTTAAGTATATTTATTTTATATTTGAGAGTTAAAATATTTATATATCTTTAAGATTTTATAGATTCTATTTAAACTTTACTTATAATTTATTTACTATTCTAGTATATAATTATAAATTTTAGAATTAAAAATTAATAAATAAATAAGTAAAATAAAGAGATAAGATACATATAGTAAATTAAAAAAATAATATTATAATTAATTATTTATTTATGTAATACAGTAAATACAATACAATATATAGTATAACTATAATATGTGATATAGTAATTACTAATTATTATTAAATTAGATAAATAAGAAATTTATATTAATTGATTTTATTTATTATTAATTTTATTTTTAATTTATATTATTACCTATATTTAGTCTTATTCTTTTATTAATTTAGTTATGTATATCATATTTAATTTATAATTTTATTAAATTAATAATTTTCTAATTAATT